TATCCAGCCATCGCATGGATGGCCCCCATGACTAGATTTTTTATAGCCATTAGGATTATGGTATCATCTCCCATATTACCAAACCCCTCCAAAACACCCACCTTTTAAAAATCCATCAAGACAAGCAAAGGATGAAAACCACGACCAATAACAGAAGAAGAGTCGGTTACCAACAGAGAAATACCCAATAATGGAGGACTGCCAGACAGCAAAAGTAAACTAAAGTAAACTAAAGACTAAATAATCTGGAGTCATCCAGCTCAGGAAAGCTCAGTTTCTCAATCACTAGTGAAATTTGAAGCAATGTTTGTTATGAAATAAGTTCGTATTTTTTATAGCTTAGTGAGGATATGGTCCCTAACCCATAATAAGAATAGAACTTAAGAAGTCACCGTAGCACCCACCACCCTAACCACCAAGCCTTCAACCTTCAACCCATTCCTGTTATGAAAATAAGTTTGTTGATAAAAAACATAAATTTCCCAATTATCAATATTGTTACTAAAATTTGCTACTAACTATTATTCTTTATAACTGGAGTTTAGGGCAGAAGGGCAGCGGCACTTCATGCAAGGCTGAAACCCCAAATAAACTATCCAATCAAATAGAAAAGGAATGCCACCCTTGTGGTGTACCATAAAACTGTTTGGACATTTGCATTTTCCCCATTTCCTATTCTATTCATAATCGACCTAATATCACATCTAATACCCATTGCTTTCAAGGATAAAAGAAAAGTGAATCCCACAAGATACTCGTTCTTTTGTTTTATAGTTTGACCATCACGACCTCTTTATCAAAGGTCACAATCTGATTCACAATAGCTGTTTCATACTTGCTATCCTATGATGACTTTGTATCCAACAGAAAGGAACTGATGACATCAAGATGCAAGATAATTATATATTGCTGTTCGGATTTATTACAAGAATAATCTATTAAACAATGTTTAACTACATAATATGGCTGAATGTGCTCACTCATTGATTGATTTGTGAAATTTCTCAATGTGCTTCATGAATTACAATTAATAAAAATTTCAGATAAAATGCATAACACGTATTTCACATGATATAGATTAAGTACAAATGAAAATTAGATTTTATAGCAATCATTGAAAGAATACTGATAAAAAAGTGCACGAAATAAATTACACTGGTCACCAGTTTCCGCACTCAACTTTATTTAGACTTTTGTTCCATATATGTACATTGTGGAAATGTGGTTGTTGCCGCTTCCTATAGACACCTCCCTCGAAATTCTGGCCAAGAGAACTCTTAAAAACCTCAATTCTGGTCCTAAAGGACAACACAAACCCTAGTAGACTTCACGCAATCTAGACCCAATATAATTATCCCAAAACTTTCCAAAACCTATTCCATCTTGAAGTAAAGCTGAGAGCTTTCAAACGGTCAAAGAATTGCCTGAATCGGACCTATGGATAAAAAGATATAACAAATGACAATTTGGTCCATGTGAGACCCAAGTGTCGAGCTACGGGCCGGGCTATAACTCGTCCCGACAGGCCCAGACGCGGGTTGATGATACAGTCAATACATCTGATAATGCAGTAAACACGTTTTCTTTAATTAGATAAGACTAAAACTTCAAGATACATATAAAAACTTCTGAAAAAATCAGGAAAAATCACTAATATAATTTTATAAAAACCCATTCATAACCCAAAAAAGGGAGACCAGAAACCAGAACGAAATCCTTTAGAAATTTTTAAAATTAAAAAAATAGCCCAAAAATACCTAAAAATAGGAAAAACCTTTAGAAAATTCCTTAAAAATTAGAAAAAAACTCCAAAAATCAGATAAAATCCCATAATTCATATTCAACATCTGGATATCCCAAAACCCTTAGAAAACTAAAGAAATTCTTCTCCAATCCTAAGAAAAGCCTTGGTAGACTATATCTAAAATTTCTAGATTTTCCTCCTACCTTAGGAACCCTAGATCTAGGTCAAAGAATTTTAGATCTACCAATTCCAGCAAACAAAAGGCATCCAAAAAAGGAGATGGTGATGTAAATCGGAAGAGTGGGCTGATCCAAGCCCGAAACTTTGGGTTTCGGGTCCTTTAAGGTAAGTATATATTTCTTTGCTTAATTTATTTTATTTTTCTTCATTTAATTATTTGCTTTAAATTATTTTTTTAGAAATATTAGATTTCATTAAATTTAGAAGCATTTTTTTGTCAAAATATGGATTTGGAGTTGGCATTGCCAGTGGACTCAGAAAAAGACCGGATTTGCATAGATCTGAGATTTTCTTGAGCCCATAATTCAAGCAACCCCACTCTCTATACTCTTCAGATCATCTTTTAGATTTCTCTCAATCTTTAGTTTTTTTTATATCCATCTTGATCATCTTTATCTTTAGATCATCTTTCTTTTTTATCCATCTTGATCATCTTTATCTTTAGATCATCTTTTTATATAATCTTTTAGATCATCTTTGTTTTTTTAAAACATCTTTAGATTCATCTTGATATCGTCTATATTATCACTATCATCTTTTTCATATCGTCTTTCATTTATGCTTATCTTATTTAGATCATAATTATCTTCTTTAAGTGCATATTTATCTTTTTAGAATATATCTTTTAGAAATAATCTTTTTTTTTTCTTTCCTAACAAATAAAAAAAAGAAGAAAATAATTTTTATCTCTTTTGAAAAATACTTCTTTGAAAAAATCAAAAAAAGAAAGAAACAAAAGATAGATATGGGCTTTCTCCTCTTTGTCAGTTTAGATTAAAAATATATTTCTTCTTTTTTTTTTGTCATATGATCTTTTGTGATTAAGCCTTATCTGCATAACTTAGAATTTTCTTGACTTTATCTTCTTTAGAAGCATCCTTTATTCTCTCTAAATAAAAATTAATAATAATAGGATTAAAAAAAAAAAAAAGAGAAGATTTTTGTTGCATAATTTCTAGTCATGTCTGTAGTTCATGATGACTCGGATACTGAGTCTACTGCGTCTTCTAGACCCCCTAGGATGACTAGACCCACATGACTTTATGGCTCAGTTCCTTGGGCCTACCCTATCTCATGTCAGTCGAGATCAGGCTTCAGTGGGTCCATTTGTCCCACACCCAAGGTTAAATATTGCTAACATATATGTAAGTCAATGGAGTCGTGAAGTCTAGCAGGTATGTATGGCCCGAGGCATCCTCTATAGTCAAGGTATTTGACCTGAGTCTAAAAAACCAGAGTTGAACCCAACTTCATCTTCTAGGTTTAAGTCTAAGGGAGATGCTACCCAATCCGGGGCACATTTCTCACAAAACTCTAGTTCTAGGGGACATGCTTCCCAATCAATAACTAAAACCCCTCTATCTTCCAAATCTAGGGGAGATGTTGCCCAACTAAGGTCGCATCGCCCACAAGTGCCTAAGTCTAAGGGAAGTCTCGCTAAACTGGCAGTTCACCCCACATCATCATCGAAGTCTAAGAGTGATGCTGCCCATCTAGGGGCACACCACCCACATCTATCTAGCTCTAGATTTGATGCTACCCAACTAGGGGCGCACCATCCACCTCTACAAAAGTCGAAGTCTGAGGGAGGTGCTGCTGAAATTTACACTATCGGCAACACCTCAGCACCCCCTAACTTGCCTAATCCACATGCTCAAGTAGACCCGAGTCTACCTCTTCAAGGTGAGAGTTTAATCAAATCATGTCGGGATCCTCAAAAAACTCATTCTAAGAGCTCTAATAGTCAAAATCCGAGCCATCATAGTTCATCCAACAAGGGCATGTATTCTGAGATCCATCAGTTTGATCAAGAACTCTCCGAGTTCTATGAGACCTTTGAGAGGCTCCAGAGTTACCCGAGGTCAAGGATTTTTTGAAGTGTGCTGCCATGTTGAGCCACATGCCTCACCCAGGGCATCGATTCATCAGTCAGGTCAGAATCATAGGACCTCTTTAGCCCATGACCGATATAGTTTTGTGAGTTCCACCCCGTCGGCGAGCCGGCATTGCCAATCTTCTCATCCTCCAACTCCTATAGATTCGGCTCGACCACAGGACCGTCCATCCCATAGTCAGTCCAGACCTGACCCTCCACAAATTATGTATAGTCATCGGCCCGTGCAGCTTCTTCAGACCGCCCAGTTCCATACCATCAATCACAGGCACCGTATTCGGCTCCTATTCCAACTTAGTATCCCCCTAGTCAGCCATACAAGTTGACTCCATACCCTTCGGTTGCTGTCCCAACCTCTAGTCACCCATACGTAGGATATCATGTGCACCAGGCCTCGACTGTCCATTTCTAAGCCATGCACCGGCTTTTCAGCCTCCGGCTCCTCCAATCCAGGTCGCTCCTCAGACTTACCCATACCATCCTCCAACCATCTCGCAGGCCCCACCTATGTCTAGTCTAGTGCAGCCTATATCAGCAGCATCCCTTGTACCACAAATTATGCCATCAACTTCGGACAACCAACCGATTCCTGAGTGGGTTGAGCTTGCTCAGCTGAAAGGTGAATTAGCCACGTTTAAAGAGACCTTGGCTAAGATCAGAGTTCCAAAGAAACTCTTTTCAAGATCTTATGTCAAGGATGTTTTTGGGGATTATAAATAGTTCTAGCGGGAATGAATGAATCAGCCTCTGCTGATTCCTTCCTTGGGTAACCCCCTGGAGCCGCTGATTTGCGTTTGTCTTATTCGTCTTATTATTCTGTTGATTATTCGTCTTATTATTCATCCTACTAGTGTTATGGTCCACTTGCTGGCCTCTATTGGTTGAAGTACTATAAATGATGTTCTATTTTCTTTTCGTTGGATGGGGACATTGTTGATGCTTCAGCTGATTGTTGGCGTCTTGCGCGTGCGTCAGTTGATTATGTGGTAGTAATTTTATGTTAAAGAATTTGAATCATCGGTTTCAGGGGGCGATGCGGGTTCATAGTGGACGTTTGCCTGGCCAATCTAGAGCCACCCTAAGACGCGCCCAAGGTTTGTTGCGAATAGCCGGATATGAGCCTTAAGACCGGTAGCCAGCACCACCCAAACGCATAAGTGTACGAAAGGATTGTATCTTATACTTATCACGCAGAGTGACGAGCCCTAAGGTCATCCGAGACATCAACAATGCACGGGCCGAGACGGGAGAGAAATCCACCGTCCCATGCCGTACACGGAATCTCTTTGCAAACTCAAAAGCACCCGGCGAGGAGATGAGGGACTTAGACTCAGATATAGTAACCCCCAAGTCTCCAAGTAGAGCCTTATACTCTAGAGCGACCTCGCGATCTCCAATGACAACATCGTCACCGAGGACCGCATAGTCAGAGAACCGTTTACCAGGGTAAACCCTCTCCGCAGCCATCCACACTACCCAATGATGGGATAGTGCGAACAGAGGCCAAGAACAGTAGTAGCTTAACCGCCAGGGGGGCTGCTCAGTCGTGAAGCAGACCTCATAATGCCTTCGCACATGGGGAGGACCCACATGGAAAACATTATACCCTTTGGCCGATTGCACAACTGAAGAAGCCAATGCAGGTGACCTCAATAGACACGCCATCAAACTATACAACACAGTCAACGGCCACCGGTCCGTTGCAGACTTTAAGTCAAAACTATAACAGTCTGACTTGCCTACTAGGAAAGCCAGCGTAGCTGGCCAACCTGGTTGTACGTACCATCACCCCTTCCTTCAGGTTTCGTGTTCCCAAAGTTTGAAAACAAGTTCAGTGGGAAGGGTGACCCTGATAATCACGTCACCGCTTACTTGTTGATTGTTCCAGCATTAGAGGACAAACCGCGCCATCTAAAGGCCATATTTCAATACACTCTCTCCAGACCACCTCTAACGTGGTTCCGAGAAAGAATATCCAGGTACCGTGAGCAAACTCCTGACGAATTGTTTCGGCGATTCATTGAACACTATCAAGGGACCAAGCAACAACCAATGGCCCTCGGAGAGTTGGTTGCGACCAAACAAAACATTGACGAGTCGTTTCCCGACTTTGCTAATCGATTCTGGGAATCTGCATCAAAGGTCATTGATTGCGCACTTCTCGAGACCTCTCAGATGAGCATGTGCTTAGAGAATTCCCTACCAGAGTACATGAATTTCTTCAGTCACGGGTTGCGGCCTTTCTCATTTCAACAAATGATAGATCAAGTTGCTTTCTATGAAAGGTCAAAGGTTGCCGCTTCTAGTGCATGGTTTGAGAATTTGACAGTGGTTGTACCATCACAGACTAAAACAAGGGGCAATTATAACAACAATCACAAAAAGGATAATACTGCCCAGGTAGGCCACATTGTCGTTGCACCAGTTCCACCCTAATCTCAAAAGATAAATGATCGGCTCAAGGGTACCTGTAAGACCAATAACTTAAACTCCAGTAATAACGCAAACACTGGATACAGGGGGACCCTTTCTAGAAGTTAACCTTCCACCACTGCAGGAACCTCTGTCCACGATATTAACTAAGATCATGCAAGAGGGGCTCATTGTTCTTCCAAACCCTATTCAACTAACGTATGAGGTTAAAAATAAATCCATATGGTGTTGATACCATAGAAATCACATTCATAGCACTCAAGACTGTTATAACTTAAAGCGTATCATCCGAAAACTCTTAGATAAGGGTGCTATCAACTACACTCCCAACGATGCACTGGTGGAGGCCTCTCATCAGAAGATGGGAATATTTGCCAATCCACTCTCGAATAATGGCAAGAAAGTTTAAATTGAATCCCCCAAGGAGGCAAGTTCAGTTAGTTTAAATTGAATCCTCCAAGGAGGCAAGTTCAGTTGTCATTATAACGATTGAAGATAAACTACCCAGGGTATACCTTAAAGTGTAAAATCATAACGATACCCAAGAAAATCTCTCAGTTTTCCCTTGGGATTATGCCATCTTCAAAAGCAAAGAAGCCGTAGTCAACAGAGATCCATGCATAAACATGATTTCAATTAACCAGGACTACACTCCATCTCAAGATGAGAAAGCTAAACATCCAGTAGAATCTAGACTCGGTGTCATCGTCGTGGCTAGTAAAAACCCTCCAGAGGTTGACCACCTCACGAGGAGAGGAAGCCACTTCAAGCCACCTCGATTGATGACCGACACTCTGAGGAAAGGCTCGAGAATCTTCCCAAAGTTTATCAAAATCCCAGCATGCCCAATGAAACAACAATGGAACAAGAAATGGAAACTGCTGAGCCTATCACACAATACAACTTGCCAGCTCATCTCAGTAAAATTCTAGCATCCATTTCTATCATGGATTTAATGAATAACTCGCCCAATCATCGGGCCCAAATTGAGGGAAGGACTCATGTCTGTGCCCATACTAGACCCGAAGAGCTAAGCAACATGATCAAGCTTTTAACAACACCGACCCCCATTACATTTACTGATGATGACATACCTTCAGGGCTCGATCGTTTTCACACCCATCCACTTTATATCATTGTTTTAATGAGCGATGAAATCAAGAGGGTGATGGTTGACAATGGGGCATCTCTGAACATCTGTCACTTGAAAACTATTCTAAGAGTAGGGTTATCACGAACAGACCTTGAGGTCTCAAACATCTCAATTGCAGCCTATGATGGGGCTCAAAGAGAAACATTAGGGATCATCCCTCTCACTCTTAATATTGGGCCTGTGGTCCAAATAATGAGGTTTTATGTCCTTGACATTGAACCTTCCTCCAATCTACTCATTGACAGGCCTTGGCTACATAAAAATCTTGTTGTGGCCTCCACTTTGCACTAATGCTTGAAGTTCCCAATTGCTTGAGGAGTGGTTCACGTACGTTCAGATGCAGTCAAAGCAGAAAAAGAGAAACTCTCTGGAAATTTCAAAATCCAAGAGATCCCACTTCTAACATATAAGGAAAATTGGGCCATGATCCACAAAACGCATGAAGTGTCTGAGAAATTGAAAGATTGTTGTAGTCATTACAATTTCGGTTTGTGCACGGCATGGAATATGTTATTGGCTCAGAGGTACTGCCCTGGCTTTGGCCTTGGAAAAAATGGGCAAGGTGTTGCTGAGGCAATTACTCAGTCCCCTCATGCTAAAGTAGACACCGACGATCGAAGAGGGTTGGGTTGCACACTTTCTAAGCTTCAATGCAAACTCAAATCTTCTCGGCATCCAGGTTTTATTTTTGGAGGAATTCAAGGTCTTGATCTCCGAAAGACTGAATCTCTTCCAAAACCGAAGATCATAATTGAAATTCCTCTAGAAGAAGAGTTGTTAGAATGACAACTTTCCCGGCTTACACTTGGCATCCATATTGTGGCTACCACCTCCTCGAGTCCTAAGCAAACTAGGGAAATTATAGAAAATCGGAGCATTACTCCCTTTATCTATTAAATCCAAGGTTTTAAAAATCGGCGGGTCGCAACGGACTCACCCTAGTCGATTCTCGAGTTGATTCTTCTGTAACGATTCTTTTGTAAAACGGTGAATTGCCCGATCCTAGAAGAGAATCAGTGATTTTGAACGTGAATCGCTTTGATTATGTCATAAATCGCGACTCCAGACACTTTGGGACGTCACAGGACGAGTCCTTAACTGAGGACATTATAGTAATTTTGTTCAGAATATGACCGCAGATGTACCATTTCTCTCTAACGCATTATTGTTGTATAGGTATTTATACCGTGTAAACTATCTCAAATTCTTCGATGTGGGACTTGCGCTACGTGATATTATGTTAAAAAGTCATTCAATATGAGTAATTATTGTAGCAGACCCTTCAGCAGTGCGTGAAGAGCTGCGGTGGTTACCAGCAGCTTGAATCCCAGTTGGGATGCTATTGTGCAATTCACTTTATGTCTTCATAAAAAATAATAATAATAGTAATTGTCTTCATAAAAATAATGATAATAATAATAATAATATCATAAAAAAAACAAATAAAAAGAAGATAGGTTTTTAGTTTTGTCTTAGAAAAAAACTAAAATGAAGAAAATAATATCATTAAAAAAAAAAAAAAGTAATACAACAAGTATTTCTCGCTAACAAACAAAAAAGACAATACATCTTCTTTTTTTTCTTGTAAAAAAAAGGTAATAAAACAAATATTTATTGTCAAGAAAATAAAATAAAAGGTATAAAAAATAAAAGGTATCAACAACATTATTTTCTTATTTTCTTGTAAAAAAATAAAAAGTAATACAACAAGTAAAAAAAAAGAGTAATATAGCATCTTCTTTTTTTTCTTGTCAAAAAAAAAAAAAAGGTAATACACCAAATATCATATTTTCTCGTAAAAAAAAAATACAACAAGTATTTCTTGTCAAAAAAATAAAAGATATTTCTTAATACAACGAATATTTTTTAATAAAAACTAGGAATGACTGATCGAATTATAATTTTATTTTTATAATATGGTAAGCTTTAACATAAATTTAAGAATATTAATTTTAAGATATGATTCATATACATTTGAAATATCTCTCTGTCTCTAACAATCTCTTCCATTAATTTATTCTAGAATTCTAAGAAATTATATTTTTTACAATTTTGAAGTGTTATTTCAAAAATTGATGAGCATTGGAATAATTTTTATATTAATAATTAAATATTTTATTTATTTATTTACATTTTAAATCTTGTAATATATTATTTTTCCTATAGTTGTCAATAATACATTTTAAATTAATGATATTATAAAATATTTTAAATTTGTTCTTATTTAGATAATAAAATATAAACCAACAATTTTCGTCGCAATATATAATATTATAGTTAGATAGGTTGTAATAATTTTGGATTATAGTTAGTTAGGTTGTAATAATTTGGTTTTTTTTTTTTTAGTGGATTAGGGTTTTCCGCCAATTCGAGATTTTAGTGGTCATTTTTCATCGATTTAATCCATTATTTATTGTAGTTTATGTATGATTATATACTTTATCTATGATAATTCTATGTTTTTTATTTTATGTGATACAAATTTAATGGTTAATATAAATTCATACATGGAAAGAACATCTTAATTACTCACAAATTGATTAAAAATGAAAGTTAATAATGTAATACCTATATTTCTTATTGGATTATTAAAAAATAACATTTATAATAAATTTTTATAATTTTTTTAAATTTATTTTAAGATTTAATCGGACCGAGGCAACCCAAAAGTTTCAAATTTTAGTCAAGCTCCCAAACTGCGAAACCCATTTTCCTCTGTAATGGTAAGCCCTAATCAAACCCTTGGCAATATCAAATCCATCAAATCCTCTCTCTTTTCTTCTTTCTCCTTTGATACCAAAACCCTAGATTCGTTCTTCTTCACTCTCAATGGGAAACCCCTTTCCGATTCCTGTAAATTACGGGACTGTGGGGTTTCTCAACTCTCAAACCTAAATTCAAGGGTTGGAGTTTTGGGTGGAGGTGACGATGGAGGAGCTACGCGTGGAGAGTCAAAAGATTGCTATTTCAGCATGTATGCCTCCAAGAAACCAGACAAGTTCGACTCCAATGAAACTCGTCTTTCAAAAATGGTCCACTTGTGCTTATCTTGTGAACCTTTGAAACCTGCATGTGTTAT